GGGGGCACACACGCGTCTTCTCTTCGCCAGAAACGCGCGACGTCTTTACCAACTATCTGTTCCTCGCGTCCTTCTTCGACACTCGCTTCGACTCGCTCGCTCGCCATCCCTACATGCTCGTCCTTTCTCGCTATATACTTCCTTCCCGTTGGCTGCTATACGTTGGCAATCCGTGTCTTTCAGCGGTTATGCACGCTTCACGAGATATATCGTACAGTGAATGTACGTATATCCCTCAGCGAGAGGAGCCGGATGAAGGCAAGACGCTTTGGGCTGCCTTCGCTTCAGGGGGATCGACTAGTTAGTGCCACGGGATCTTCACAGATACCGGGTACGATGTATGCTTTTTGCCAGATTTCGGCCTCTCTCTCTCTTTCTCTCTCTCTGTCTGTCTGTCTCTCTCTGTGTCGCGTATTTACAGACACCCCAGCATCGTTCCGCGGACCGATTCGAGCAACACTCGGACCAGTAATCAGTTATATCAGCGAGCGTAGATGTATTTGGCTAACGTAAGGTTTCGTTGAATAAGGCTCGAGAGTTTGTGCAAAGTCGAATCGAAAGCCCGAGTTCCTAAATTACGTTTCGTCCGAACGAAGGAGGAACGATCTCTGGCAGCGTTCTACGTACGTGACGGTCGTCGATGACGTTTGTCTTGTATTGCTGAGAGATAGAAAAGACGTATAAAGTTATAGCGTCGTCTGCAATCTAGAATCAAATTGCTGTGATCTATCAATATTTGGTTTAAAATTTAGCCAGTTTAGTATATGTATAACTTTCAAGTCGCATAATTTAATTTTTTCCCAATTTTTATGTATATCTTGTTGTATAATGTCTTCTTAGCAACCAATAACATTCTTCGAGGCAGAACAGGCTTTTTGAAATTTTCCCTGCGAACCAACACACAGCAAACCATACTCGACTCACTCTTCAAATAACCAAAACTAAATATCTCACATTGTATATGCAGGTAATAGAGACTGTGGGATTCAACACAGGCTATAAACAATAAAAAAAAAATAATATTCTTGGTAACGATCAGGTCCAACCTAAAATATCAATGTGAATGCTTTTGCAACTTGTCTGTAAGATAAATACTAAAGGAACCATTTTATGGATTTGTCATTACTTTTTCTTCTTATCGGTGTTTGTTGAACAAGAGTAGGTAATAGTTCTTGGCTTGTATATATCGTTAATATCATATTCGTTTGGATGTCAACAATCATTTTCTTACTACTTTTATCAGCTGTAATTGGTTCAGTGTATTTGCGATAATACTTGTGGCTGTTTCTTTGCTTTTTAGTTTTACTTCAAAAGCCTAGGATGTGAATGCAGAATCATGACAATGAAAGAACAATAAGAATGAGAAACATTAGCGGTGATAGTTCCGAAGATTTTTCGTTAGATCCTGACTCGGACGAAGATCCAACGACGCGTAAATATTATTGACGATGAATTTAATGGTAAATTATCATCGGATAAGGGTGCAGAAAGGGGCTCCAAAAATAAAATGTTCGAATTGTTTTACTCGAGCTTTTATACGCAGAACGTTGTAAATCGTTACGTTGTTATATCAAAGTTACAAAACTTATTCGTTATAACAGAATCATTAAAATTGCTGGATACATTATCAGTCTGTACTTACAGGTTGACATTTGTTTCATTGATGTTCGTAATTGATATTTGTCCCTATTTATAGTTCATTGTCGATCGAATTTGATTTTACGTTACATAAATTTCTTCACGATCATGTAAAAAAAAGTTCAGCCCATAGAGGGTTAATTTGACAGAGGGAACAATAATTGTATATGTAATGTGTGTGTGTATGTACGAGGGAATATATTTTTCGACGGATGTGCTCTTTCTAAAGTGTTGCGTGTTCGTGAAAATATGGATTTCGATGTGAGAACGTAAGAAAAAAGGGTTGCGTCGCACGCGGGGGAGGGGAAACGAAGTTGCACAGCGTGCAATT